GACACCCACCTGTCTGGTGTTGGGGGGGATATGTTTAAAGGCATCAGGGAGGCTGGGCCAGCAACAGAGCTAAGGCAGTCCTGCTGAGCAAACCTTCCTGGCAGCTGTAAGCATCCCACCTCCTCTCGTACACCTGACAGGCAGCTGCCTGTCCAGTGTAGGAGGGGGAAAGGGAAGGAGTATTAGAAGCCACTGTGGAGGCGGGACCAGCAGGATCACTTATGTGTTATTGCTGGGGTGGGCTCCCTCATGGCTTTAAGCATCATCAGAGAGGCTGGTCCAGCAATTTTGCTATACCTCACAGGCAGTTGGCCACTCCTGATTTCCTCAGCTGTCATTAGCTCTCTGCAGTCCTCTGTAACTGTTTTTTTAACCTCAGAACACTGAGCTCTGCAGCTGACCTATCAGAGAGTGGGGGGTGCAGCGAGGCAGCTGCCTGGCAGCCGCATAGGAATCAATGGGGGAAGCACATTTTACCCCTTTTGACCCCCCTTAGGGGTTGAATTTCTAAAAATCCCTTCTTAGTGAGCACCTACTCCATGGTAGGAGTGCTCTCCCCAAATTTGGTGTCTCTAGGTCCAGTGGTTTGGCCTGGGCATTGATTTTACGGTGAGGGGACTTTCTTTTATATATATAGAAGATGGGGACAGCCCCGATAAATTCAGCAGTCCCGATTATTTCCTGAATCCCAATATCATACCAATATTGGGAATATCAGGAAGTACTCATGTTTTTCAGGTTCAGTACACTGAAACCCGAAACATACCGATTTTTTTTTCACGCCCGTAGGTCTTACCCCTGTCCTACCACTCCATAGAACAAAGGTTGCTTAGTTATTTATTAAAATATTTATCCTCCCCCCTCCCAGACGCACTCCTTAACATGATGAGGGGTTTTGTGCATGTCAGTGAAGCTGAGAGTTTAAACTCTCTCAAGAGTCTAAACTCCTAGCAGAGTCACTCAAGGCGGAATGGTCACAGCTGAGACACCAAACTAAGATGTATCCAACCCCTTCAGGAATCAAAGGCCACATCAGCAGAAGAGAACAGACAGTTCCAATGGCGATGGAAGTGCAGGATTCCTTGAAGAGTAGCCCGTGGGCAACAGCGGTGGTGGAAAATGACACTGGTATAGGATCCTCATTAATTCTGTGCAGAAGGCAATGGTAGACCACTTCTGACAATCTCATACCTTGAAAACCCTGTTTTCGGATAACACTGTGATGAGACAATCCAAAAAGGGGGGAAAAATAGTGCTGACAGACAGGCTTCCCAGGTCAGCTAACACTCAGTCAATTACTGGGGAAGAGCAGAGGACAAGTATGAGTAGTGCTATTCTTAATGGCACAACTGGATTTAAGTTGAAAGGATGTTCAGTTGTTGATGTGAATGTTTGCAAAAGGAAAGTCCAAACCTGTTCAACACATATAAAAACATGGAACAGGAGAAGTTCGAGTTAAATTAAGTTTGAAATTGTAAATCAAGAAATTGAATGTTTAAACATTGCAATCCTGGGAGTAAGTGAACTAAAGTGGACTGGATTAGGACATTTTCAGTCAGAAAGTTACCAAGTGTTTTACTTGGGAAATGACAAACATGGAAGAAATGGAGTGGCTGTAATAGTGAGGTGAGATGTAGCACGAGCAATCGGGGGCTGTAATGCAAAGCCTGACTGAAAAATATCAAACTTCATGGAAAGCCCATCAACATAAATGTCATTTACCCCAACTACAGATGCTGAAGGGGAAGAAAGCTTTTATGCAAATTTCCAGGAAGAAATTGATCACATACCTAAACAAGATGTGCTGATAATTATACTGGACTAGGAAAAAGGCCCATTGTGGAAATAAATACAACGGCCTCAAGAAAGAGGCTCTGGGCGGGTGCCCCGGCCTTGGACACTCAGTGTCAATTTGCTGTGGCGATCTCAGCAGGGTATAATGACACTGAGTCCACCATTTTCTCCAGAGGAACTGATCTCTGCTACCTAAAGAACAGTTGTCATTTTGAGTGATCTCCAGCCCTCACCTGGATATTGGCAACAATGGTGCCCCAGAAGGGAATCGTTGGTTTGGAGGGTGGAGTCTATGGCTTTGTACCTGTCCAAGGTCCCACGTCTCCTGAAACCTCACCCTCTCCAGGCTCCATCCCTCACATCTCCGGGAATTTCCCACCTGGAGTTGGCAACCCTATCTCCTTTCCAGCCAATCATCAACCTACCTTTATTTCCCCCTCACTCTTCAGCTTTCTACCTCCCACACACCTGCAGCCTCTTTCGTGCTCTGAAACCCTGACTGCTATGTCACATTGGCTGTCATATGGGGACCACCTCAGCAGCATATAAGGATACAGAGCCCACCATTTTCTCCAGGGGAACTGATCTCTGCCATCTGGAAAGCAGTTGTAATTCTGAGTGATCTCCAGCCCTCACCTGGAGATTGGACACATTTTACCTCAGAACAGCAAAACTGTTTAGAATGTTAGAGGCAAAAGCCAATCAAGTCGCATATGCAAACGACCTCTGTGTTCTGAGGCAAAGGCCAATGAGGCTGCATATGCAAATAACCTCTGTGTTCTGACTGGCTATGGGGGGGAGAGGATTAGCAAAATGTTTAGAATGTTGGAGGCAGGACTCAGGCAAAGCAGCCAGTGGATAGGGAGACCCTCTGAATGACAGATCAGAGAACGAACTGATTTTGGATCGTGTGGAATGTTCTAGAGAAGTGCCACCACCATTTGGCTTTTATTTATAAGGGAGACAAAGTAGACTCAAATATTGTTGGAAAATGTGGGCTAAGAGCATGAAATGAAGCAGGAGAGCGGCTCATAGAAGTCTGTGAAGTTGTTATTCATTGCAAATACATGTTTCAGGCAACAGAACAGACAACTGTAAATGTGGACAGTGCCAGATGGCCAATACAGAAATAAAATAAGTTACATAATTGGAAACAGAATATGGAGAAGCATTATTCTGTCTGCTAAAACAAGACCACGAGCTGACTGTGGTACAGACCACAAATTGTTAATATCAAAAATTAGAATACAGCTGAAGAAAACTCCCAAAACATTGATAGGGCTAAAATCTTCACCTTCTATTTGTCACTCCACAGTTGAAGGCACACCACAGGGAAAGCTAGTGGTCATGCATATTGCACCACTAATATTTTTCTCTCCTATATATGTAGCTCATGCTGCATGTTTATTATAATGTCTGAAGGATCCTGTGAGTGATTTTTTAATGAGTATTCATTTTGAGAAGAAAATACAGTATGTTTTGTGTGTCTGCCTGCATCCGATTCACACATGTAAGGTTTCCCTTGCTCAAAAGCCAGTCGAATCCGACTAAGGTTGCGGTGTTCATCTCCATTTCCAAGCTGAAGAGCCAGCACTGTCCGAAGACGTTTCTGTAGTCATGTGGCCGGCATGACTAGATGCTGAAGCGCACGGAATGCTGTTACCTTCCCACCGAAGCGGTACCTATTTATCTACGTGCAATTTCTTGCTTTCGAACTGCTAGGAACTCATGCAGCACTCGGGTCTCGAACTGCTGAACTACCAACTTCCAGCCTGCAGTTCAGTGTCTTAACCACTGAGCCACTCACTGCAGCTCCTCACACATGTAAACTGGCTGCTTATTTCATCCAAATGGCCTCTTGACGTGAACCAGTCTGTTCATGGATGCAGACAGACTGTGGATGCTGAAAAAAATGCCACTGTGATAGCAAGAAGCAAATTTCGCATGCTACATTTGTGTGTACTGTGATTGCTCTGTGTGTATCCAGAAGGACTTGCGTGGAGAAAATAAGTAGCTGGATTGCATTGGTGAATTAAATGAAAGAAAACTGGCCTGGAGGTGTGAGAGGGAACAGAGGTGTGTTTGTGCAGGGAAATCTGTGGTACTGTCAAAGAACATGCATGTTCTACATGAGAAACACCATGACCTTTTTATTATTAGGTGCAGCCATTGGATAATTTTACCTGGCATTTTAAAATCCACACCTAGAAAAGAAATTCACTGCTCAGCTATTGTAAGAGTATCCAGGAGTGCTGTCTGGTCTTGCGAGTATAACCAATATCAGATATCCTCAAGATGGTATAATCTGAAAAACAATAATGTTGCAGTTTCCAGAAGGGCTTATAGTGTATTGTTTAGTCCCTGGGTACTTTTGGCATATATTTGAGAGTGGCGAGGATGTTGCCTGGGTTCAGATCCACAGTTAAACACAAAGCCAGTTCAGTAAGTTTCTCTCTCTCCCTGAGTGGTTCTGAGGATAAAGGAGGGCATCATGTTTACCACCCTGAACTCTTTGGAGAAAAGACTGGATAGAAGTGTAGTAATCAATTATATCCCTTTGGGCATTTTTATTTTAGTATATTCATATTCTAAATTATTATTAAGCCAATATTCCATGGCCAGTGCCCCATGTAGTTCAGTTGTATGTTTTTTTTTACCATCCCTGCACTTCGTTATAAGAATGAGAACAAGTAACATATAAAACTTTTATCTTCTTGTATATATTTATTTATTCAATTTTTATCCCACCCTCCCCACCGCAGGCAGGCTCAGGACGACTTACATTAAGGATGAAAAATATTAAAACACTGCTTATACAGTACAGTGTCATAACTTACAAACATACCAAGTCATAGCTCAAAATAAAATAAAATAAAAATAAAGTGCAGGTGGCAATAACAACCTGGTGGCCATGATAGGATGTTCCCAAAAAATGGCCCCCTTCGGCATCCGGCATAGTTCAGTTAGTATTGTTGATGTTATTGGTGGTGTTAGTGGCGGCTCCTAGTCAAAGGCTTCTGAGTTAAAATGTTACTGTTTTGTTGGTTTTTCTCAAGAAGATTCATGAAATCTTATGGGTGGGTCATATAAATATAATTGCATCACCAACAAAATTTTGCTTATATTATGCTGATAGTTCAGTCATCTATTTTGCAGTATGTAACTAAAAAAACCTGCTAACATTTTTTGTGGGTTTTTCCCCTTAGAAAATTTGAACTAAGATATAATGATTTGACTTATGAGAGCCCTTGGTAACCATGATGGCAACACAGACATTAAGTATAGACAACTATCAAGATGGACAACAGGTAAGGACATCTGTGCACTACATAATAACAGGTTAAAGTATTTTGATCAGTGGTTGGCACCCAGCATTTGAAACTACTTCCAAGTTGTGCTGTTGAATTGTATATGTCATACATTTCCCTTTTAGCTTTGTTTATAGAAGGTTAAGTAGGAAGCAACTGGATTGTCAGCAACATTCCTTTTGGAGTAGACTGGTGTGCTAAACTGTGGCCCCGGTCACACGGAGCATTAGCCATGCTAGAGACAGAAGAAAGGCGGATTTTCCGGGCGCGATCTCACCGCCACATCTGGGAAGCGTAGAGCTCCCATGGCAACACAGACATTAAGTATAGACAACTATCAAGATGGACAACAGGTAAGGACATCTGTGCACTACATAATAACAGGTTAAAGTATTTTGATCAGTGATTATGGCACCCAGCATTTGATTGTATTTGTCATACATTTCCCTTTTAGCTTTGTTTGTAGAAGGTTAAGTAGGAAGCAACTGGATTGTCAGCAACATTCCTTTTGGAGTAGACTGGTGTGCTAAACTGTGGCCCCGGTCACACGGAGCATTAGCCATGCTAGAGAGACAGAAAAAAGGCGGATTTTCCGGGCGCAATCTCACCGCCTCATCTGGGAAGCGTAGAGCTCCCGTGGTTCAACCGAGGCTTCCCACCGAAGATGCGCGTCAAAAAACGAGTACCTCGGAGGTACTAGTTTCCGGAAACCGCGGGGCAAGGGCGGGCGTCTGATCGCATTTTCGGTGGCATCCAGCGCCCACCCATGCCCCATTGCGAAAAGGTGGTTTTTTTCCTGAAGTCTCCAGGGATGCACACAAGCACCCAACGGGGCATGCGCATACTTCAGGTAAAAAAACAAAACAAAACACAACCCCGTTTGCCGTGCCGCGCCGCTTCTTTGGCACGCCGTGTGATTGGCACCTCCCCCCTAACCACGGGACCGCGAGGGGATGCCTGATCGCACAGTCATGCGTTATTTCGCTGCGGGGCAAACAGCCACACCTCCCCCCCCCCGCGATATCCGGCCCGTGTGACCGGGGCCAAAGTTTATTATTTTGCCTTCAGATAAGTGGTTGAATCTTATTGATCTGTTATGCTAACATGGTGCCTTCCTTCAGTGCAAGGACCTTTAGCCTGTAGAAGTGCCTTCTGGGGTCCAGGGAAGGCTGCTTGTGTGGGAGGAAAGTGCCACAGTTAGCAGAACACACCTGCTGAATCCAGTCCAAGCACATTTCTGACTTCAGTCTACTTTCCCCCCTAGAGATTCCTTTTATTTCACAATTGTAATTCATTTTAGCTGTATTAATGGTCCCTTCTACCAGGGGATAAACCCCACAGAGGATAAAATAGTTCACTGTGGTTGCGGTCACATGTGCCCGAAAACACAGGGGGGAATCGAGGCTATTTCCTCTGGAGGAATTTGACCCGCAGTTGCACGATCACACCTCCCTTTGAAGATGTGGTCGCAGTCCATCAGTATGTGATCAGATGCAACTGCAGGTAAATCTTTTTTTGTGTGTGTGTGTGTGCCGTTTTCCCCCCATGCGCTTAACCGAGGGATCGATGAATCACACCTCTGCACCGAGGGCTCCCTATGGAGTTTGCAATGATGTGCATACTTCAAAGGGGGGGGGAACAACGGCATGGAGCTGGGATGGCCAGACCGTCCCGATGCCATGAGAGTGCGCTGGAGCGATCAGACGCCAGAAAGTCCGTCCGTGGCCCATCGCAATCTGTTTACTACCAGGTTTTCCCTGGTGTCTTTTAACTCCGCTTCTGTGGCGTAGCAGAATGGGTTGCTGACGGCTGTGGGGGCGCTTCCCAGATGTTGTTGTCTGATCACGCCCTTTAAATCCGCCCAGCATTCGCACCTATGTTGGGTCTAATTGTGTGTATGATTGCACCCTGTGACCTGGTGGATGTTGTGTTTCAAATTTATTTGCTGCTCTGATACTTCTTGAATAATGCACAGGTCTTTATGTGATCTTCATTGCTTCTAAGGTTTGGGGATCAGGATGTCTTCTGTCTTTCACAAAAATAATTTGGTTGGACTTTTGATACTTTGTTACCTCAGCATTGTTATAAAACCCTAACCTTCATATCTGCTTCACTGCCAGTGTTGCTGACTTTGTGCAGTCTGCCGAAAACTCAACACTCCTTTGTGTTGTCACAACTTGCCTGTACCTGTTATTGACCCATCTCTGGTTTCACCCATTGACCATGTATTTGTAAAATCTTGTTGGGAACCTTATTGGTTGGCAGGTCTTTTGTTATCCCAATTCCATGCCTTTCATAGTGGCTTTAAATAAACATTTCTTTCCTCTCCTGTGTTCTCTTCATTCAGACTGAAACTTGTCCTTAAAGTATCACAGAAACCAGTCTCTAAGTAGATTGGCTGAGGCACTAAAGCAATTTGATGGGCATATTCTTTTGTTTTCTCTTTGCTAGGTATATTATTTGACCTTTGGGGAAAATAATCTCGGCAGTAACTGTGGCCATAAGCAAAGTTTTAGGTGACTCTAGGATTCTTTTCTATTTATTGTAGTTCTGTTGCAAGTTTATTGGTGTAATCCATTAGTTACTTCAATTGACTGCTATATTTAAGAGTTTTAAAATCAAATTATATGCTATCCATAGGAAAATGCTTAATATTTGCAATACGTTTAAAGAACTCTATGTATTCTTCGGTTTTCATTTTAGGCTATAATCTCTAAATGCACTTATTTAGGAGTAAGTCTATTGAACTCCCCTACTACCACCACAAATACAGCACAGAGAGTTATGTTTGTTATATTTATTTTGTTGTATCTTGCTTTTATCATCAGTAAGGACCCAGTTGGTTTATAATACAGGAGAAATGCAGAAAAACAGAAACCATACAAAAAAAAATTAATGATGATTTGTATTCATTGTATTTGTGGAGCTGAGCTTATACATATTTTGCTTAACTGCTTTGAAATCAGGTTTAATATTTCAAAGTGAAAGTATTATAACAGTACAAAGTTTGAGTCCAGTTGGTCTTAAAGGTGCCACTGGACTCAAACTTTGTTCTGCTGCCTCAGACCAACACGGCTACCCCATCTGTATTATAATAGTGTAACTGACCACAGCATTTGACTGCTTATATTTGCTTTGCATTTTAAATGGGGGTTTTGGGTGGAGGAGCATTTCTTTTAAAATATGTATTCTATAGAAAAATTGAAGTTAATTCCTGATGTGTTAAAAAAAACCTTTCTGAAGTTGACTAAAATGGTTGTGTGTGTTTCCCCCCAAATATGCTCCAAAACCCTGAACTTGAAGATAAGAATCTGGCTCCCTGATTCAGTATGTATTTCTTTGGTAGCAAATTCTATTGATTATAGAGGAACTTGCTTCCAAGCAGCATGCTTAGAGTTGCAGCCTAATTTTAAAGTGAAGTTTTGAAAGTAAACTTTCTTTCCAAGTGATCTAGATGATAAATGCCTGAGTTTATATTTTGGGTATGTATGCGTGGTTTGATAACTTAAGAGATGGCACCAGATAATCAGAAATGTTCATGAAAAACAATGCCAAGACCACGGCCACACATCCTGGAAAATCTACAGCAACTAAAGTTCATGAAAAACATTAAGTATAAAACATAATGCTTCTTTTCCTAACAGAAGCAACTAAAAATTAGAGCTGAAATTACTTTCTCCACTATAAATACTGCAAATATAAGGTTGTCAGATCGGAAACCACACTTTTGGGGGGTGCTTCACCACCACCAGCCAACTGGCCGGCGGGGGAAAATCCCACCCCCAAATGATATTTTTAGTCCATTTCCAGTAAAACCAGAAGTGCCCGTTCCGATGTGCTGACGTCACCCGGAAGTGACATAGGCATATCGGAGACATCTGGGGGGCAGTGTTCTGGTATCTGGGCAAACTCTATGGTAAATTTGGCCAGGAGCCTCCCACCAGTCAGGTAAGTCCACCTGGCAACCCTATGCAAATATAAGCTGCTTTCAGAAGTCAAAGTCTGAGGTGGGTGAAATTTTTCAGTTTCTAAAGCGTCATTGGGTTGGATCCAAAACAGCTAGGGTTGCCAGCCTTCAGGTGGGGCCTGGAGATCTACTTTTACAACTGATCTCCAGCTGACAGAGATCAGCTGCCCTGGAGTAAATGTAGTGTAAAACAAAAGTGAGCCACGCTGTGCTAACTTACATCAAAAATTATTGTTATAGCATAAATGAACTTGAGGATACTTATACATCTAATTCATAATCCTCCTGGGTAAATAACAGACTATTTTGAAGGCATAAATACAATTTAAGAAGAACTTGTGTAGTTTTTTCATCTGAAGACATCTCTCATGGCTTGACTTCAGATGTAGCTGCAAATTCTTCTAACATCCAATCTCAGCTGGCTGACAAATTTCGAAAATTTTCATTGTCAAAGCCAGTATTTAAAAAAGCCTATATCACTCAAAAGAGTCACCCAGCTTTCAAGGCAACAGCCTGCAGATGGTGGGTTCCGACGTCTGGCGTGTCTTTCAGAGAAAATAGCTGCTTTGAAGGGTGGGCTCTATGGCATTGTACCATGCCGAGGTCCAACCCAGACCTGGCAACCCTAAGCATAGCGTTTCCATGCTGCAGGGACTCCCACCGTCACAGTATGACTTTCTTGGTTCCATGCCCCATGGAAGCCAGAAATGGCTCCCTTAAAATCCTGCAGGTGGAGGAGAGGGGTCTCCAAGGAACAAAAATTTGGGAAGCATTTGGGACTATTGCAGAGATGGGAGCATGCTCCGAGGGAAAACTTTTTGTACCTGTGGAAACACTGTGCTTGATCCAGCCCATTGTTTCAAAAAATTAACAACAATGAATGGATGCCATTGCCAACACAATATTAGGCACGTGTAGTAGTTGCAAAGGTATAATTACTGTTTTTCAGGTGATTATTCCTAGGAATTGTGTGAGGAGGCCTATAAAAATATTTATTTTGCCTCAGAGTTAAATTTCCAGAATTCATAAAGGGGAGGGACGCTCTTTAGCCAAGAACTGGAGGGAGCAGACTTGGCTTGCCTTCTATGTCCTATTCTCCTCCTGACTGTTATCTTAACCAGGGTTTGTGCAATAAACTAGTTTAAACAAGCCATGGTTTATTGCAAATCTGAATGCAGCCATAGATATGTGTATATCTGCATCCAGAGAATGTTATAAATATCTACAAATATAGAGACATATCAGTATTCATCTAATTGATCATGAATTTTTTAAAAGACTATCCCAAGATCGAGGACTTTTATTAGTAATGTAATTTTTTTAGCTTTGTATTTCATGATATATTATTCTTATGAATGGGAATCAAACTTATAGTGACCTTTCCAGTTTCTCCACACCCCCAACATTACAAGGATCAAAAGAGTTTTTTGTTAACTGTCTGTTCTTTTTGAATAATTGCCAAGTCATACCAACCTTCTGGCAACTTAAATGAACTTTTGCATTTCTCTGTGCTTAGAAAACAGCTAGTTTAGTAGTGATTCTATGCAGTTGGCAATATAAAGCATACTTCTCTTCCAGCAGATGCAAGCAGTAACTGAGTTAAAAACTGAGCAAGATCCAAACTGCTTGGAACCAGATACGGGGGGATTGAGTCCTTCTCCAATAGAGTCCCAGACACCGATGGATGCGGACAAACAGGCCATTTACAGGTAGAACTGTTGATAAGATTAGACATTCAAAAAGCAAAATCTTTCTGTTTAGGAAGCCAAATGCACATGTCCAGGGAAGGATAGGATTTGAAAGTAGGAAACTGTCCTTCCCTTAGGAAGCAATTCAGAGCAGGTCTACTCAGAATCCTGCTCAGGTCTGTTCAGTGGGGTTTGTTCCCAGGGAAATGTTCTTAAGATTGCACTGTTAACACCCAGAAATGTAGATCTTCACAAATTCATATGGGATTTGTGGGGTCGACTGCTTGCCTCCTGCCCACTTGCCAAATTACCCTGAAGTGAACTGAGAAGAGCGGCTACTTTCTTCATGGGGTGTTTCCCTGGGCACAGTCAGAGAGGCTTTGTTCAGTTACCATTGCTAATGCTAATTAGTCCTCCAGTCCCAATGGTACATGAGCACATTTAATTGCTCTGGACTGAGACTCATGTCTCTGGTTAAGGCTTTATACTTCATATTACATTTATATGTTACTGTTTGTTATTAAAAATTGGTCAGACATATTTTTGATATCAAAGTTGGTAAAATATACTTTTTATTTAGGTTTTGGTTTATACTATTCGGTTAGATTATAGATTGTAATTATTTTGATCATTGAACAAAGTCCTCTAAGTACAAGCAGTCTAATTTCTTTCAAACTATTAAATAATATGTATTGCTAAAGTAGGCCTGTAAAAATAGCTCTAGCTCTAGTTTAGCAGAATTTGACACACAGTAAGGAGAAAACCAGAGATTCCATGGTATATTTGGTGTGAATCCCTAGTGTATTCATGGCAAATGTAATTGGATGTATCTCTGCAATTTTTCTAATCTGCTGCATTTTTTTAGCTTCCTGAGTTGCACATAGAAGTTTTCACAGACTTACATTTTGTTCATGTTTTCTACTTTTATTTCCAGGCACCCACTCTTTCCTTTATTAGCACTGTTATTTGAAAAATGTGAGCAATCTACACAGGGATCGGAAGGTACAACCTCTGCCAGTTTTGATGTAGATATTGAAAACTTCGTCAGGAAGCAGGAGAAGGAAGGAAAACCCTTTTTTTGTGAAGATCCAGAAACAGATAATTTAGTAAGTAAAATAATGTTTTAGAGAAGCAAGCGATGCAAATACTCCTGCTTGTTTTCAAGTTTGTTCTTTTCTGCCTGGGAAAAAGGTACAGTTGAAATTGAAAAACTCAGTAAGGTCAGTTGTAAAATTTCAACTAAAAAGATTTATTAAGATTTACATTTCAACTTATTTTCTAGTAGCTTATCAATACCCTATTGTAAAATATGTTAGTTCCAGCAAAGGAGGGGGGGTTACTCTAGGCTTGAAATAAGAATGTTCTCTCAGGTAGGGTTGTCTAATTAAAATAAAAGAAAATGTTTTAGTTCCTAGGTGTATTACTCAATACACAGGCAGGTTTTTATTTTAAAATATCCAAGAGGATCTTGTAGGTTTCCAAGAGTTGACAGGACATTGCAGGTGCTTTTGGCATAATCTTCCAGTGTAGTTGTCTTTCCTTTCACTGAGGTTTATGGCAGAGTTTGTTCAGTCCTCTTTAAAATGATTGAGAGAGACTGGTTATTTTCCTTAGTGGCAGCACTGCAAACAGAAGAAGAAAAAGAGATTGGATTTATACCCCGCCCTTCACTCGGAGTCTCAGAGCGGCTTACAAACTCCTTTCCCTTCCCCTCCCCACAACAGACACCCTGTGAGGTAGGCAGGGCTGAGAGAGCTCTGAGAGAACTGTCCTTGAGAGAACAGCTCTGGCAGAACAATGTCTTGTCCCAGGTCATCCAGCAGCTGCAAGTGGAGGAGTGGGGAATCCAACCGGGTTCTCCCAGATTAGAGTCCACACCCTTAACCACTACACCAAACTGGCTCTCAGAATCCTGCAAAATATCAGTTGTGCCATCTATATCAACTGACAGTACTTTGGTATTGACAAAAACTACTCCATTCCATAATAACTTTTTAACTCAACTGATTTCTTTTAACAAAACTATCTGTTTCAGATTCTTTCACCATATGCATGATCACCAGAACTGCTCATGGGGGGGGGGGGGGAACCCTATATGTTAGATCCAGTGGAAAATCCAGCAAAAGCAAAAAAAAAAACAAAACCCACCAGTATTACTCAATTCTCCTTCCTTACTGCAATCCCCAATAGTGTGATACATTTTGTTTACAAGGATCTGCTGACTCCTCAGAGTGGTTTTCTGGGACACCCGGGGAGCTGCTGGGAAAGGGGAAGCCATGGCCACTTCCAGCTTCCCGAATTTTGTAGCTGGTGTACAGTTACGTTCATTACACATATTGACGTATTCTTTGTACCCACTTTCCCAAATCAAAAGGGTATCTGTGTAGTAATAAAAATGTGTATATATATCCTTATTGAAAATATCAGTAATAATAGCTCAACTATTTATTATAATATCTACTTGTAATTGCAGTTTTATAAATGCTGTACGTATACATTCATTTTCCTTGCTTCAGAGTTCTTTCTGCTTTTCACTTTTCTAGATGGTAAAGGCAATTCAGGTTCTTCGAATTCATCTGCTTGAGCTAGAAAAGGTTAACGAGCTCTGTAAGGATTTCTGTAGTCGCTACATTGCCTGTTTGAAAACTAAAATGAACAGTGAGACTCTTCTAAGTGGAGAATCTGGGAGCCCTTATTCACCTGTACAACCTCAGGTACCTTTCAAACTAACTGAAGTATATTTTCTTTCTAACTCGCCCCATTTCAAAGAATGGGTAACAATAGATTTTAAAATAATAAACCAAATATAAAATGCTGTACTAATTATTCAGTTAAATTTGCTTGAGCAGTATGATTACAAATAGATTTTCTGTGACTAGCAATCTGGCAGAAGATGTTATAGTTTTGTGGTTTTATTAAGATTGCTGGATTTCCCTTGTGTGGTTTCTTCATGGGCAAGTACATGGAAATGTAATACTGAAAGAATGAATATAATCTGTCAACTCTTTGTCTGCAGTCCAGCAACTTTAAACATGATAAAGATAGCTTGGATTTGCTGGAGCAGCTGTCTTCATGGAAAGAGTCACCAGAAAATGTGAGCAGTAGAGCAAAATTGACACAATTATCATTACACCTCTTTGGCAGTATATCCTTAGCCTAATTTGCGGGTTGGCTTTGTTCATCTCATTGTAGATAATGGCCCCATCCAAGTTGGGGGAGGGGTGATCTATATACAGAAAAAGTATTCTGTGATTGCCCTATGCCACATGCACAAAAAGCTTCTATAAATAAAATTCCATAGATTCACTAGGCTAGATTACCTGTACAAAGGTACCCCTGTTGAAAGAGCCACACAAATTGCTGTAAACTTTGGGATTCAGTTCTCTTGTCCTGACCTCCTTGTTGGGAACAGGAAATGTATGAACACATATATAACACATATAAGCTGCTTTGTACTGTAGTAGACCATTAGTCCAATTATTCCAGTGTGGTCTATTTCAATTGGGAGTAGCTCTGCAAGACCTCAAGCCCTACTATTTGGGGTCCATTAATGGGCGATGTCTCCAGTTATAATCTCTATCATTCTTGAAAAATGCATCCTTACTGGCATTCTCTTTTCTCTTTTCATTTAATACTCTGGAAGTAGAATGTAAAAATGTATGGATGTACTCTTTTTATGAAACATGCTGTTAAATGACTGTAATAGTAAGTAGAAAAAAGTCAGCTCTTTTGGCTGAAGCATGAGTCATACATTTTAAATAATTTGATTTTCTCCTTGGACATAAGAAATTACCCCATTAGTCTTATTCTAATTTCAAAGGACAGTCTTTCAAATATAGTTACATTAGTTTAATTTCTTCTGATTGAGACCCTTATAAGCAAGTGAGGCAATTTATACTCAAAAATTCACTAGTGGAGATTACGATTACCATGAAGATTGTTAAAATGCTGGTGTATTTTTAGAATTATTTCTTCCAAGTTCCTGTTGTAATGCCTCCCCTTGTCAATTATACTAATCCAAAACTGCAGTCCTGTCATCCAGACATTTGATTGTGGGGAAGCAACAATAAAGATAAGTATTTTAAATATATTTTCAAAAGGTAAAAAAATATTAATTGTATGCCTTTGAAAGTATGCCTTTTCAGTTGAAAAGGATGAATTCTTTAACCATGTTTAAAGTCATAAAGATTTACAGATTAACTTTAGAAAGATTCAGGTGGGTAGCCATGTTGGTCTGAAGCAGCAGAACAAAATTTGAGTCCAGTGGCACCTTTAAGACCAACAGAATAAAACTTTGTTGGTCTTAAAGGTGCACTGAACTCAAACTTTGTTCTGCTAATAGAAAAGTCAGGGTTTTACCCAGAATAATACAGTTTTATGGATTTTCTAAAGATATTTGTGGTTTCCTTGTATCCCATTTTTTAAAAAAATCTGAAGGCACAAATAATTTAGTGTAGAATAACAGTGTCTAATTCTGTTACCCTGTTGACTCAAATTAACCAATCTGCAAATACATGGCAATTGATTATAACAAGATGGGATGAGGCCAGTGGTACAAGCTCTGTTGCTTTTAATAGTTATCAACTAAAATTTACATGTCTGTTCTGCACTGCCATAGAATATATATATATATTCCTTGTTTATTTGTTTTATTATTCAATAAAGTATTCCTCTCATTGACCTTCCTTCTTATGTGAATTTCACGACTCTTTTCGATCACATTGGTTGTTAAACATCATCATCTTTGTCATGGGGTTTACTTTCTTTCATGTTTTTTATTTGAAATTGCTTCAACTACTATCACAGGACCTGTTCTTTAAGACCATATAATGTTTGTTGTTCTTTCTAGCCAATTCAAAGTGCCATCACAGGTACACTCAGTCCCCAAGGAATTATGGTGCCTGCATCAGCATTGCAGCAGGGAAATGTAACTATGGCAACTGTTGCAGGTAGGATGTACTAAACAAAAACTCAGACATTGAATTTCATCACAGATAGTTTTCAAGTCTGTTACAAAATGACCAAAGATTGGCATTCTGATTATGCTTTTAGATTCATAATGCTGTGCAGCCAAATGTTTAGGGTAATGTTTGGGATAATAGCTATGCATGCCAGTTGATGCTGAGTATTTAGTATTATTATGGAAAAATAAAATATGCCATCTCTTGCTGAAAGCTAAATATATTGGCTCTGATCCATGGAGCTGGAATACTTGCGGGAGGGAAGAGTCATTAGTGGAAACCTGTTTGCATTTGCAATATAGAGCAATTGCAATTTGATTTTTTTAAAGCAAAGGTAGCCATCTTCTTAAAATTATACTGCCCTTCAAAGCCTTTTTTATATCATGTAGTCTGATATGAGGTGGTATAAATAAAATGAAGGCAAGTTAAAAACAGTTTTGCAAAAACTTCTAAGAAATATTAACAAGACTATACTTTAACCTCTTTGATGTAAGAGGGAGTCATATTCTTGGCCAGATTTCCATTTTTGATAAATGATATCCTAGTGAAATTGGAAGTTTGTTCAAAACACTTTTGCCACTTTGCATTGTTTCAGCAAGTTTGGTCCGAAAAGTGAGTTAGCTTATCACCATCTAGTCTATTTAATGCTCTCGTTTGGTTGCTCTGCAACAGTATAATTGCTTTAATATGTTTTTAAGGTGGTACAGTGTATCAGCCTGTGACTGTGGTCACACCTCAAGGTCAAGTAGTGACGCAAGCCTTGTCACCTGGAACAATCAGGATCCAGAATTCACAGGTCTGTCCTATACAGAGTGCATAGCAACGTTCCACACCCTCAGGGTACTACACCACTGCAACATACAGGCTCTGCCTCCGTACACCAACCTTCTCCTAATGTTGGCCATTTTGGTTGTGTCTGTGTTTTTCCCCAACATCCTGCCATGCTAACGTGACCAAGAAACAGAACCCAAGGCGAGCCTAAGTGAATGGACTAGTAAGGTTCTCTGGCTTCCACTGGGTTCTGTGGATCAAAGTAAATGAGCTGGATAGAAATCATGCTAGTTTTCCATGGACAGAAATGCTTGATGTGGTTGAATGTTCAAACATATCATTCCCTACCAGCAATCTAAAATAGTGTGATCCTAGGAATTCTGTGCCATGTGATTATCTGTATGTTAAGATCAACTGTTTAATTTCTCCTCCTCTTAATAGCATTGCTTGCATCTAAGATTGTGCGTACTCTTGCATCTGTTTAGATTTTTTCCATAGCATTATTTTTGTGAAATTTAAAACTCTACAATTGCATAACACTGTGTTAATGGTTTTGTGCTATTTGTCAATTCTGTGCAGCTCCAATTACAGTTAAATCAAGATTTAAGCATCTTGCATCAAGATGATGGGTCATCAAAGAATAAAAGAGGGGTTCTTCCAAAGCATGCTACGAATGTGATGAGGTCGTGGCTTTTTCAGCACATAGGGGTAAGGCTTGGTTGCAGTGACTGGTGATCACACTTACTATTGTTTGGAGAGTTTGTGCTGGTATATTATTACTGATGCATAAGGAAAGAAAAAGTTTAGCCCATATCTGCAGCTTTTAAAATATGATAAGAGTTTCTACCGACATACTCAAAATTCATGTAATTAATTTATCAGAGTTGAATCAGGCCTGCATTTTATAAATGTCATAATCTTGTGATCTTAAATGCTAGAAGTATTTTTGTTTTATTTCATTATGCCTAGAGTTATTTATCATGTGCTCTTAATCAGTAGCCTTTTGAAGACTATTTTTAAATTACCATCAATCTATTTCATAGGGGGTATGAAAGATATTCCCCATGATGCAGTGAGTGTGATCTGTGTGCAGATGAAAACTATATGTGATTTTAAAAACCTAACATCCGGGCATCATGTGCACTGTCATTCTTGTTACCAAATTATATGTGGTCACATTTGTCTTATTAGGAAGCAAAGCCATGGGCCCTGAAAAATCATATAAATATTGTTAAATTTTTCTGTCTTCATCTTTATGCTACATGTTTGTGCATATAGAATTCAATCAGTGGATTGTATGTTAAGTTTTACTCTTCTGAAGGCACCTGCTGCAGCCCATAGTTTTCAAGAATCCCCCGACCTTCCAGAGTAGTGTGTTTATAGCAGGTGATGGAAGGTAGAAGTAACTAGGAAGGATCCATACTGCTAGTAGAGCTCTACTTGCAGTTCTTTGGATCTAACCCTAAATGTCCTGTCTGGAATGACTGAATATCAGAGTTTTTTCTGAATACCTTGGGTTTCCCAGGCTTTCAGAAATCTTTGGCCTCTACCTTGTGATTTTTTTTTGTTTTGGTTTGCATTTAGAGGCCATTCTTAGCTATCAATGAAAGAGGGGGGGGACCTATATTAACAGTTCTCCATAAGTCAGTAACCTTCCTTTAACAAGTACTGTAGGCAAAAATGTCATATGCCTTCTTGAAGTGTGTTAACTGTGAGATTAAAAAACATTATCAAGGTTTTTCATCTCTGTCATATGGCCCATCCTTTCTTATGTGTAAAACAGTATATCATTAATCCAGTTTTATTACATGTTATGTACGTCAAGTTCCATGCCACCCAGCAGGGCTTCTGGGAGCTGTGAGAAGAATCTTTTTTCAGTTATACATGGTTAATAATGGTGACATTTCTGTTATGAGGGTATTATCAGATTATTAAACTCAACATCTTTTAGCAGTCAGCTTCGTTATGAGGTTTATGACTTTTTTATGGGTCAGCTGGTTTTTAGATGTTTGTTCTTAATTTAAAGAAAAACAGACAGAAGCTTTCCAGAGGGCATTCTTCAGCACTGCCATTCAAAGGATGAACTCTTGGGAGATTATTGGTTGTATCCAATCACTCTGTTCGGCTCATGGTAGCTTGTTATTCCTGCATAAAGGAGCCTTCCTCCACTGCAAGATCCTCTTTTGCCAGTGGAAGAGGTTCCACAGATAGGACAATTCAGAGTAGAATTGAAATTAGAAAAAAATATGTTGTGAAATATGTGAATTTACGTCCTGGAGTATGGGAATCTATGTAACGTGAACAGAAGAAGAGGATGAATCTATAATTTCCATGAAACAATAATTCAGTGGAAGAGAACTAATTTACTGACATAGTTATATAAGCATTGGGAAATTAAAGTTAGAGAAGAATCATTTCAAATATTGCAAATGCCTGGAACTTTGAGGGAAACAAGCTGTTGCTATTTTTATTGATATGTTACTTTTCAGATACCAGGCATTCAAGCTTCCATAAATCTTTTAGTTATAGTGCTTCATAATTCATATGAGATTGGTACAAGGAGTGAGAAATGTCAGTTTTTAATATGTTAAAAGCAGCAAAAATTTTAATTGCACAGAAATGGAAATCTAAGAAATTACTTTTGATGCATCATTTTATTACTAAATTAGGGTTTGTAGGTAGTCTTCTAAAATGAGCATATAGACAAGGGAAGCTGCAAGTCACTCATGAAAAATTATTTCATGGTGACATGCATTATGGGAACAATCAGTTTCTGGTCAGACACTGACAGGTAAACTTTATGCTAAATCGTTGCTTTGTGAATGTATATTTATAGATATAATAAAAGTCTTTTCCCCTTTGTCTATAGCATCCATATCCAACAGAAGATGAGAAAAAGCAGATAGCAGCACAAACAAATCTGACATTACTCCAAGTTAACAACTGGTAAGACAAATACATATTTGAATATGATGCAATGTTTCATTTTTATAAAAACCATATAGAAATAAGGTCAGGAGATTACTTTACTGACTTCTACTATGGTATTTTGTGCAAGTGAAAAAGTGAGTATGATTGGTATACTGTCCATTACGCTCATTTGCCATTGCAAGTTTTGCTGCTGTAATGTGTTTGGTCTTATATGAGTTAGGTATAGACAGACAATAAGCATGTCGGAGAAGAATGGGTAATGCGAAGTATAATTCTATTTATGTTTTTGTTTGCTTCTTTTCTTAGATTTTTATCCCACTCATTTTCCATTTATATTTATTTACTGAAATATTTATACCATAGCTTTCCTGAGCATTGGGAAATTACAAGGCAACTTACACCTTCAAATATAACATACACAAAATATAATAAAACCCCAGATAACTCTCCTCCCCATCAAAACATGCCACCCCATTTTATCCTCAGAGCATCCTTCTGAGGTAGGTTAGATTAAGAGATAGTAAGTTGCCCAAAGCCAGTGGACTTCATGTCATAGAAAGGATCTGAATCTGTCTTCTTAGTCATAGTCTGACACCCTAACCACTGCATTGCTTTGGCTTTCAGTAAATAGGACTGTGCTGACATAAACTGGCAGTATTCTTCAACTGGGCAACAGGTGTTAACCAGCTTAGCAAAATTAATTGTAGTATCATGAATTACTGCTGTTGTGAATGCTTTGTATTTTTCTTGATTACATTTTGATTTTGCATAATTATGTCTCACCCTGTACTTCCTGATTTCATACCCCTGCTGTTTACAAACTTTTTTCCTCTATGACTTTGTGTTTGCATGTGTATTGACAAAGTCAGCTGTAGTCAATGAAAGCTGATGCTGAAATCAAAGCTTCTTAGTCCACAAGGTGCCACAGACTTCCTATTTATGGGGGGAAACGGAAGACTGAAATAGTGGGGGCCACGGGAAATCACCTTAAATGCATAAAGCAAGTGATACGCAGTGTGCTTTGGCAGGTTGGGCGGCGGGGGGGGGGGGCTATACTGCACAGATGCAACTGTGTGGCCACAGAAGTAGGAAAAAGGACCCAGAAAAGAAAGCCAACTAAGAAGTAACAGAAAATAAATTGTAAGCTAGTTTTAAAAAGCAACTTTAATTACTCCAGGAGCCTCTTCTAAAATCAAAAATTTCTAGTCCCTTCCCATGTTTAAAAATTGTAATGAGATATACTACCTAAGGTAACATTTTTTGAATTGGTTAGTGTTGAGATTAATTTTGTCTGGTGTATTCATTTTGACCATATTTAGGTTTATCAATGCCAGAAGACGAATTCTCCAGCCAATGTTGGATTCCAGTTGTTCTGAAACTCCAAAAACAAAGAAGAAAACAGCTCAAAACCGACCAGTTCAAAGGTTCTGGCCAGACTCCATTGCATCAGGAGTAGCTCAGCATCAATCAAATGAGCTTACAATGTCAGATGGTGAGCAGATTTTTAAATACACGTCTTGAATTAAAAGAAGCTCTTTATTTAGTCTTTGCTGAGGGAAATTCTTAAACTATTTAAATTATTTTGCATGTGGCTTGAATGAACACATGGAATGCAGTATCCCTGTACAAACTGCCTTGAAACAAGTGATGTAACATAGCAACAGTTTCATCTATATTTCCCTTACCTTTTCATCCAAAAGTAAAGGAGAATGCACATGTGCCATCTGGGATATTTCCCTCCTATCTGCATCACACTTCCCATCACATATACAAGCACACATATGTAGAGGTTCAGGTAAATGTGTCTAGGTCTGATACACACTTGCAACCCAATCTTATGCATATTTTCTTGCAAGTAAAACCACTGGGCTGAACAGGACTTGCTTCCAGGTGCATAGAACTGCAACTTTAAAGATGGCAACTTGAGGCTGCAACTTGCAGCTGCCTTTGGCACCTGAATTTACACATACAACAGGTTCCAGAGCAGCTTTTAAACTAATTCCTGGGGAAAGCTGGCAAGAGTGGAGCAGCCTCCAGCTAGGAATGACTCATTCCAAAGCGATGGTGCGGTAAGTTCTTGGGGAAATATTGGTTGGCTAGAACTTGAGAATTAGAGTAGGGTAGTAAATGAGGGCTGTGTGAGGAAACCTGGGGGCCAAGGGAGATGGAGCTCTTTAGAGAGGGAAACTAGCCTATATGCCAGTGCTAGAAGTCTCTGAGCCAAGATGGGGGTGCTAAATGACAATTTAGATACAGTGTCTATACACAGGACAGAGAGGGACATTGTGAAGGCTGGTATTTTAAATTACATGTGAATAGAAATAGTGAGATGTGACATTTGACCAGCATGGACTCTGTCTCAACCTCCACCTGACAGCTTGAACCAAAGTGGCTTATTTAAGTACATGTGAGGGACTTTACCACAGCCTAATTAGTATTGCTGCCTGGGACAGTTATGATGGCCTTATAATTCTCCTTCCCTCTAGTACCGCATGAGTTATGTTCTAGAAATGCCTTGCCCTCCCTAGGATGTCACATGAGACATGAGGAAAACACGATAAAAACCAGTAACTTTTATTCACATCCTGGCTTAGGGGAATAAAGATGTTCAGAAGAGGCTTGAAAATTTGCAGGTTTAGCGCACAGCATTTGCAAGGCTCATTCAGGTATAACATTTCAGTTGATAGTTGGTGGGTGCGGAGAGCAGTTACTAGTCAACCATTTAAAGCTGTTGATGTGAATCTTTGGTTTTCCACAACTTCAGGAATCCCACAGTATAAGCGTGAAGTTATCCTAGAAAATCCAGATCTGTAGCCAGTTTTCACCAGAAGATAGGCTCTGAGACAGGTACAGTCCTAATAATTCTCCAAATTTGCCTGCTTTTTCTAAAAGCCAGACTCTGAGACCTATATAGTCTCCTGATAAAGGTTCCCCCACAGTCTAACCCTATACCTTAAAGTAGTCACTATATTAGCCTGCTTTCTTCCATTTCTAGGCTCTTAGAGAGCAGTCTCCTGAGAAAGGATCCCTCCAATCTCACTGTCAGGAGGCTCAAGCCCTATTTGACTAACAGTTCCCTCCCATATGACTCCTCCAGCATTCCGTGGGTCCTGATTGGCTGTTAGCTGCTCTGTACACACACTAAACAGGCATAGAGAGGATTAGTGGTTGATAGAAAGGGACAGGACCATTGCCTATCCATCACAGACATGTTGGGAACAGCATTGCTCAGTATATAAAAACAGTCAAGGTAGAAAACATTAGGGGAACAAATATTGCTCTATATATAAAAAGAGTCAAGGTAGAAAACTTTCTACCAAATCTAGGCTTTGAGACAGCAGTCTCCTGAGAAAGGAGTCAAGGTAGAAAACATTAGGGGAACAAACTCTTTCCATTAAATTGCTATGGGTGGAGATACCAGGCCCTAAGGCTTACTTGTGGGGTGGTACTATTGACCCCCTGATCAAAGCAGAAGCAGTTCTTGAGATGGAGATGAAAATAACAGAGACAAGTAAAGTGGAAAATGTTGTAATACTGGGTGACTTGAACTACCATCACAATGACTGGGCAAATGAATGCTTGAGTCATGTCATAGCTTTCTAGATGTTATAAATGACCGTGTATTGGAGCAGTTGGTCCCAGACCAAACTAGAGGTGTAGCAACACAGGACTTGGTTCATGGGCTTGAGACCTGGTGTGATGTGTAGATGTTGTTGCAACAATTAGGAAGAGTGACCACAATGCTATTCAGTTCAGTATTCATCTCAGTGGAAAGTTGCTCCCAAAGTCCAAAGTCAGAAGGAAGTAAAATGGAGAATTAAATCCCTCCAGGATGCCTAGAGACTATTTAAAATGACACCAATTAAAGCCCAGATAGAATGCACACCTAAAATTAGGACAGGTACCACCTAATCTGAAAAGATGACTGCATAGTTAATAACCCAAGTTAAGGAAGCCATAAAAGACCAAAAGTCTTCCTTCAAAAAGTGGAAAGTTTCTATTAATGAAATGAAGAGAAGCAGAGGTTCTAGAATAGTTGACAGTAAGGTGAGCAAAAAGAGTATTTGAGGAGGAGATTGGCTTACCAATCAAAGAGCATTTCTTCAAATATATCTACAGCAGAAAACCAGCAGGGAGGCAGTTGGGCCTTTGGATGACAAAGGAATGAAAGGATTGCTTAGGGAAGATACAGAAATGGAAGAGAAACCGAATGAACTCTTTGCATATATTTTCACTGTGGAAAGTGGGGGGGGGGCATGCTCCTATGCCAGAGCCACTGTTCTGGGGAACAGTATCTGAAGAATTGAGTCAAATAGAGGTGATAAAAGATTATGTTCTAGGACTGCCAGGCAAACTGAAAACAATTAAGTCTCCATATCTGTATGGCATACACTCGAGGTTCTGAAGGAATTAAAATGCGAAATTGTTGAGCTACTAAACCAATATATGTAATTTATACATATTGTGTTATTTTATATCCTGTAATCCTCCTTGAGTTCCAATGAGAAAGGCAGACTATAAAATAAATAAAGAAATAAAGAAATAAAATTTGTCACTAAAATTGGCCTCTGTGCTAGGCAACTGGAAAATAAATACATAATTTTTAAAAAGATGGTCAAAAGTGGATCCTGGGAATTATAGGCCAGTTACCCTACCCTCTGTTCCAATTACATTAGCAAAAAGTGTTATTAAAGATAGCTTTATTAAGCACATATAAAGCCTGCTCAGAGAAAATTTACAAGTCTTGCTTCGCTAACATTCTGGAGTTATGTGAGCTGGTTAACAGGTATGGGGGTAAAGGTTACCTTGTAGACACTGTATACTTGAACTTCAAAATAACCTTTGACAAGGTACCACATCAAAGACTCCCAAGTTAGCAGCTATAGGATAAGAGGATGGGTCATTTTTTCTGGATTAAAAATTGGTTAAATGGTAGGAAGTAGGGATGAGCACAAACCTAAACTCATGACAAACTGCACCTAGTTTGTGGTTTGCAAACTGAGGCTCGTGCCATCCCACCCCCACGAAACTCCCATGAACCTTGGGAGGTTCGTGTGGTTCATGTCCGCAGACACACTGGTGGCGGGGCTTGGAGAAGGCCATGCTGCCACAGCGGTGCAACTCAGCAAGTAAACTCAGAAGGCATTCACTTGTAAGTCATGCTGCAGCAGCAGTGTGGCTTGCAAAAGCCATTTAAAGGGATCCTTTTAAATGGTTTTTGCAAGCTGTGCCGCCGCCGTGGCACAATTCAGCAAGTGAACTCAGAAGGCATTTGTGAGTTCACTTGCGCGTCATGCTACGTTGGTAGTGCAGCTTGCAAAAGCCATTTAAAGAGAACCCTTTAAATTGCTTTTGCAAGCCACGCTACATCACAAACTACAAACTGGTTCCTTAAACAGAAAGGTTCATAGATGTTCATGGTTCATGAGACCCCATGAACCACAAACCTTCATAAACCTCCATTTTCCCACTTCATGACCCTCCCTAGTAGGAAGCAGAGAGTAGGAATAAATGGATAGTTCTTGGAATAGAGGGAAGTGAATAGTGAGGTCCCATGAGGATTCATATTGGACTGGTGCTATTTAATTTGTCCTTAAATGATCCAGAACTGATGGTGAGCAGTGTAGTGGCCAAGTTTGTGAATTATACTAAATTATTCAGGATGGTAAAAACTGAAGCAGATTGTGAAGAAGATGAAACTATTACTGTTGAGTTTGATAGCAGACTTTGTTCTGGATTGACATTAAAATATGGTGCATGAATTACTTACCACTGCCAGAATGATCATAGCCAAAGGGTGGAAGAGCATAAAAAGTCTGACTGTGAAGCAATGAATTGGTAAAATCTCTCAAAATACAAAGTTATCTAAATTAACTAGTGTGTTTGACTTCCGGTTTATGACGACATGCAGGCAGACGCATCTCCTGGATGTCCCAGGGATGCAAACTGCACACCAGCATGTAGGAGGGGGTGCGACAGGTCGCAACCCCCCCCCGGAGCCTTGGTAAAAGGCTTTTGAGGGGCGACCTCTTTGCTGGCGCGATGCCAGAGAATTGAGGCTCTCCTCTGCCCCGAAGGTCCTGCCGCTGAGTGACCGCATGGTACGAGTGCTGCTGACCAGGACAAGCGTCAGAGATCGGGCGAGAAAAAATGATGCCGAGCGAGTCGGGTTGAAGTGAGCATGAAGATTTAAAAAGAAAGCTGCCCCCCTTAAAGAGCAACGGAAAGCGAGCGGGGGAGGGGCCCCTCCCAAATGCAAACACGGAAATAAAGAGGGGGGAGCGGAAAAATAAGCGTCTAAATCTGTTTTAAGAGACTTACCAGAGCGCAGATAAGCGTATGGGCGAATATCAGAGAGTTTAGCAACTTTCTGAAAAGTAAATAATCCAAAACAATGGCGGGGAAGAAACCAGATAAAGACAAACTGTTGAAAGCGAAACTAGTGGGCAGTCCTCGAACGGAAGAGACCACTGAACTTTCTAAACTGTTGGCAGATTCCTTGCGCCCTCTGCTGGATAAGATGACTAATATCAAGCAACAATTGTCAACAATTGGTCAGAGCTTGGCTTCACAGCAGCTACAATTGACTAAATCTACAAATGCAACGGAGCAAATGGCAGAGCAGATGAAGGAAATGGACGCCAATACTAAAAAAGTCAAGAAAAAGGTGCAAAAACTGGAAATGAAACAAGCTATGGAAGAGTCACAACTTTTACAGCTACAAATGGAGAAAGCAAATCTGGTCCTATGGTTCCAAGGGGTCCCAGAAATTAAAGGTGAGAATCTGAAGCAACTGTTGAGTGATGCAATAGCCCCATTGACAGATTTGACAGCAGAATATCTTTACAGCGAGATGGATGTGGTCTATAGGTCCTATTCCTTATACATCAAGAAAAATAATCTGCCTGGGGAAATAGTCAGATTCTCGAAGAGACATGTAAGAGATTCTATTTTGAAAGCAACTACGGGAACACCCTTGAAAATCGGGGACAATAAAAGCCAGAATGCGTCATTTTCAAGCTCCACGATAAAAAAGAAAAGATTGACTCTGTTCCTAAAGCACGTGAGTTCCTGAGAACACAGCTGGGGGAACCAGCGGAGGACAAGAAGGAAGAAGAAGAAAGCAAATCGGATGGTGAGTTGGCTCGGTGTCTTCTGACGAGGACTCTCTCTTTGAAAAGGGGGTGACAGCCCCCAAAAGTCCATATAAATTGAGGATAAGAAAAGATACGAGAAAATAAAGGCTGAAGGACTCTGAATTGTGCCTGAAAATTTAGAAATAACTTTGGGATGCTCTGATGGTTTCATTTAACAGATAAATGGATGGTTAAAAGATAAATAATTTAGCATAACCGACTATGTTCAATGTTTTACTAGCATTTTAGATTAATATGGAAATAACCTGATGTATTGAACTACTCTTGGGGTTTTAGTTGTTAGTGGGTTTCTTTTTCTTTCTCCTTAGAGGTAGCTTCCCTTCCTGTATTTTCAGTTGTACTTTGTAGTGGTGTAAAAAAAATCAATAAAAAACTCCCCTTAGGGGGATGCAAAAAAATTAATTAATTAACGTGTGTTTAAGGAACAGGCATCCAAAAATTCAATTTTCATTAGGTTGGAAACCTTGTTTTAATTTTTGGCAAGAACATTTATCATTAATTATAGGTAAAGGTTCCCTTGCTCGAAACTTTGTAGTGGTGTAAAAAAAATCAATAAAAAACTCCCCTTAGGGGGATGCAAAAAAATTAATTAATTAACGTGTGTTTAAGGAACAGGCATCCAAAAATTCAATTTTCATTAGGTTGGAACGCTGTTACCTTCCCACCAAAGTGGTACCTTTTTATCTACTTGCAATTTCTTGCTTTCAAACTGCTAGGTTGGCAGGAGCTGGAACTAGAGACGGAAGCTCACTCCGTCTTGCGGCACCCGGGTCTCGAACTGCTGAACTACTGACCTTCCACAGCCTGCAGTTCAGCGTCTTAACCACTTGAGCCACTGCAGCTCCCATCATTAATTATAGATATTTACAAATGTATAATGTTATTGTAATTTATTTACATGCATTTATTTTTGATTTGTGTTGCTTTTGTTTTGAGTTAGATACTTTTTTAGAAAGCAAAAGTTTTGCAGGGGGAAAAGGAACAGTAGATTTTTCTGAGAACTGTTGCTTCAGTGAAACCTGTTTTTTGTTTGTTTTGCCTTTTTAGGAGCCGTTGTTACAATTACAGCTCCAGTCAACATGAATGTAGACAGTCTCCAGTCTCTTTCATCGGATGGTACTACTTTGGCTGTTCAGCAAGTCATGATGGCAGGGCAGAGCGAGGACGAATCTGTGGACAGCACTGAAGACGATGGTGCAGACCTCTCAGCCACAAACATCAGTGGTCTTGTCTTGGATAACAGTGATTCTCTGCAGTAGGAAGCAAGAAAAGCTGGCTTAAATGTTTAGGAAAAACAATGGACTCACTGACTTTTTATAGTTTGCACAGCAAACATTTTACACAAGTTTTATTTCTAATATGTTTTATATGTAGATATAGAAGAGTGCACTTTTTTGTATTTCATAGTAAGCTTAAAGAGTGTCTTTGCAGGTGCAGCAACTTCTTTCAAATGTGTTGTTCTTTTGGTTTTAATTTTGAAAATGTAAATTTAGTAATTTAAAAAAAACCAGACCACAATATCACCCCATTCTTTTCTTAGGGTAACTTTCTCAGTCACAAAATTGATCCCAGATCAACTTGACTGAGGGGGGTGCAGCAGGCGTAGGGCAAGGTGATGATTGCTTTGATGGCTGAGTTGATTTTTTTTTAAATCAGCATGAACTTGAAAACCAGCCGCACAGTTGCCATCTGACCCAAGGTCTGTTGTTGTCTGACATCTTGAAGTCTGCTGCAATTTTGTGACATATGAAATTGCCTTCATAGGAGAAATGAAAGTACTTCCAATCTCCTGCATTAATTATGCAGTTTCAGTTAGTGCTGTCATTCAAAGACAACTTTTGGTGGTTTAACAATGTAAATGTAAAGCATGTCAAACTAGTGTATGGGCTTTGTTTATGGAGTTAGTCATGTAGATTTGAAAGATGCTTCTGCACCTTAAAAACAAACAAAACAAAACTGCCAGTTGGAAATGGGCAATCAAACATGCAAAAGGAAGTGGAGAAGTGTGATTCCAGTAATGAACATATGGCATTTAAAATAAATGTAAGTTCTCTCATAGAGTTCTTAGGTGGAAGCCTCAAGTTGCTGGATGAGGCAGGCACAACTTCTTCCACATGTTTTCTACCTCTAGTCCTTTTGCCTCCCCCCACCCCCATCTTGGCCTGTGGCATGCCTGCAGCCCTGCTAGCTGCACTTGTGGGGAGAGGGATCAGACCAAAGGACTGAGGTAAAGCAGGACAAGATGCACTGCTGCTGCTGTCTCATCCCAGCTGGTGGCAAATTTAAGGTTACAGGGAGAATCTCTAGGTTGTAACCTGATAGCCCTACTCATAGCCAGTGGCTCTGCCCATCATTTGCTATAAAACACTTATTTTTACCTTATCAGGATTATTGGATTAAAAATATTTTTATAAATTCTCTTAAGAATTGGGATGATGACTGTATTGAGCATGGAAAAAATTGTTTACTACTCCCATTTGGAAGGTTATGAAAACTGTCCAGATTGAATAAACATGCCTGTGCTATATCCTATGGATCTCTGCTATCCCATAGTAATACAGTCTATTTGATAGTGGCCTAAGGGCCTGCTCCTTTGTAAGCCAATTTTAGTCTAATTTGGAACTTGTATCCAGAGATTTGAAGAACAGACACTCTGACGAGGCAACACCCGTAATCTTCACTGCAATCAAAAGAAAATTCTCAGCAGTACACACTTCTTGCCCATCAGCCATATGGACATACTAGTTTCTTAGTTTCTCATGCTAATGATAATGCCTTCTCAAACACATTTTAATATCTGTATTAGGAAATAATTTATAGGATGATATAAAAACAGATTTCTCGGACAAAAGAGTACTCAGATCATCCTCAAGTCGGCTTGCTCAAAAATAGTGATGATATGGCTGCAGGCATGGCTGCAGTTGCCTTTCACTGGTCTCTTTACCTCTTGAGTTTGCTGAAAGTGTTTTGTGGGTAGTGATGCTGACTCTACTGAAAGCTGGTATTTCCCCAAAAAGTAAAATAGCTTGGAGGCCTATCAGAACTAGCTGTTGGAGGAAAGCTAGGAATACATCTTTGTTTAGTCAAAAGAGCTGTCTCCAGTGGCTTTGACGTAGGTCTTGATTCCACAAAGCATTCAAGGATCTCTTTTGTTCACCCTGTTCTTTTCAGAGGGATTCGGTGAAAGGTGCTGCCCCTAAAGTCTGCCTCATCATCCTGTAGCGATTGGAAGGAGCCAATCAGATTGTTCTTCTTGCCAATGTTATACTGAAACCAAACATTACTGTGAGAGCGTAGTTTTTGCCAAAACCCACTTGCTTAGGGACTCCCTATAGCTCCCATGATGACATAATCACCTTACTATCTGGATTGGCTGGAGGAACACAAACTCTTCACACTAGCACTAATGTCCCCTATGGCATTGCAGGATATGGCCATCAAAAGGGGTAAAAATGCTTTGGTAGTAATACAATTCTCAGTGCCCTTGAAGACACTGCAGCGTAAAAATACTTTGGTAGTAATACAAATCTCCCACTATGCAGAAGTGTTTTTTAGTGCCACCCCCTCCGCTCCTTTAATGTTTAAATTGATCTACAAAGTATCTGCCCTTTTCTTTGTATCCTATAGCACAGGGATAATCCTAAACATCAGATAAAATGGCAACAGGCATCAAGGACTGGAGTGCCCAGATCTCCATAGCCTTGCAAAATGGAAAAAAAAAAATCATTCTCAGTGCCCTTGAAGACACTGCAGCAAGTGGTTGTTCTGAAGCACTTCACTTAAAGCCTTAATGATTAGATTTGTATCAATGCACTCACTTTTATAGCTGTATGAAAGCTGATTTTAACCCGTTATTTCTATTTTGTGGTGTTGGAAGTATTCCAAAGGGAGTTTACAAGATTTTTTTAAAGAGAGAATGATAGTATAATATAACTGATTCAAAGTATTATGTTTTAAGACCATAAAAGTAAAGTAACAGAGAAAGAGAACTTTAAACATGCAGTGCAAATATGTGCATCTGTACCTGTTACTAGCCCCACTTAAAATGAGTCCTAATTTATGTCATTGAGGTTTTTTTCTTTTTACAGTGTTTGATCGAACAGCCCCCCCACTGTCACTTTTTTGATACAATCAAGTTTGATTTTATGTTTATACATTAGTTTTCTGAGATACTATTAGAAAAACCCAGGGAACAGATGCAGTGCAACATCTTGTTACTCTACCCTACGTCTGAAAAGTACAAAGTAATAAGAATGAAAAATTGGGCCTTCCACACTATAGCGGGGAGACCTGAGGCGAATAGAACAGAGCACCTAAGACTGTGCACTAGTCTCATTTCATATGTATATATGTCAGTGTTGTTGTCTGAAGTCCTAACTCTTGAGTGGGCTTATCAACAGAATCAGCACATTTTCACCAAACCCTTCCAGTGGTGAGGTTACAGTCTTTGAAGCAAGCTGTGGCATGTGAAAGCATAATGCACAAAGTGTTTCCCGTGTGGTGTAGATTTCAACTGCTGCTGTTGCCTTCTTTGTAATATGAATCAGGCTAGAGGTTCCTAAAGACCAAGCAGAGAAGCCTGCTTTGAATTTTTATGCAAGAAGGCTTTCTAACAAAAAGGAAAATGAAATTTTATTTCTGAACATCTAAAATACATTTCACGGTAAACTAGTTTCTGGAGGACTAGCACATTATAAATATTTTCAACCATGCTGTTAACAAATGTTGTGTAGTAGACTATCTCAGACACTGGCCTTGCATATGAAATACACATGAATTTCGGAGATCTGTTAGCTTGAATTTAGCATGAGTCTGTGAAGGCAAAATAATCCAGTTTTAGCCATCCAGCAGTACGAAAGGGAGTTATATGGGACATGATCCACTATTTTACTCTTGTATGCTGTACAGGGACCTTCCTCCCACCAGCACAGGCAACCAGGCCTGATGGACTCCCTGATGTGCCTTCACTTAGGAGGTGCCATGGCTTTAGTAGATGTTATACTTAGGGAGGTGCTTCCTATTACTTGCTATGGGTATTTGCAGTGGATTGGTCAATTTGCAACAATGTTCATCCAGAAATGTGGGTGGTGTTGGTGTGCAGCTTCTCCCAGGATCTTTTGAAACTGCTGCTCCCAATGCAGAAATATTGTTGGAAAAAGTCAGCTACAGAGAATGAAGCAGTGGAGGGAAAAGATCCTGCTCCTTATGTAGATTAGTTTATACAACAATAAAACTAAAAGGATACTTTCTTGGAATAAATTCCGGTGGGCAACTGTGTTGGTCTGAAGCAACAGAACAAAGTTTGAGTTCAGTGGCACCTTTAAGGCCAACAAAGTTTCACTCTGGGTATAAGCTTTTGTGTGCATGCACACTTCTTCAGGAGTTCTTGGAATATTATAGAAGCTACTTCATTTAAAAGTTTATTTACATGTTCTTACAGGGATGTCCTTTAAACATTTTACCAGCCACCTGTGAGGTAGTATTTTAAATACAATACATGATGATAAAAATCTGTTGCAAATAAAGAGTTGATTAACGTTAGGGACCTTCATGCTGTCTTGGGGCAAAAATCAGATTTTAAAATGGTCCAGCTACTGCACAGCCTTGTCATAGCAAGGCCTTCTGATAAATTTTATTCATAGTGAACCATTAGGCATGCTCAGAACAGGAGTAGAGTCCTGCAGATGTGCCATGACATAAGAGTCTGTTGGATTGTGGCCAAAACTAACATTTTCAAATATCTTATTACATGAAAGCTTTAAACATGCGTGATATGAGACAGTGCGTGATTGCACTTCATAATGTTCCTCATTGTCTTGGTGCTATTATTCCCACCTTTCTTGTTCACATGATGGGTCTCCTTCTCCTGAGACAGGAAACTCATCCAAACAGCAGTCCATGAAAACGTGGCAGACAGTAGTAGTTGTACATCATGCTATGGAGGTGCAAAACTCAGGGGGAGAGGGGCTTGACATGTCTTTGCAAGGCAATACTGCAACCCAACCATTGCATCATTAACAGCTAAAGGGGGGGGGATGGGAATTTTATTTCAGGGATGAGGATGAAAATACACAGACACAATGTTAAAATAAAAACACTTAGAGCTGAAGAACAATAGCCATACTAACTGATGTTCTTGGATGTCCAAGAGAATGGTGGGAAGGTTAGTAACAGCACCATTTTGAAGAAGCACTGAGAGGGTAACCCACAAGATGAGCACTTATGTTGGACAAGACTCAGGAGGAGGTGCAAACGTCAGCTTATGGCTGGCCTTCAGTTAAATATCAGACATAAAACAGGGAGAGATGAGCTAAACTGCCATTTCTGAATAGTTAGTAATACTGCAACTTTCTTTTTGAAATAATTTGGGCATTAGTGAATTTTATGGGAATTGCATTACTGATGAAACTAGGTGTGCCAAATCCAAGCAAGTTTTCCTGGTTTAACTCTGTTTCAGCAAAAACTGGAAGGAGAAAGCCCTTACAGCTGATCTATTCATGAATTGATTCTTAGGACTGTGGCCATTTTTTTGGCCTTCAGTTGCTAAAAATACTTAGCACCAGAGATCTGAATGTCTGCAATGGCAACAAGAATGTTAAATCTGAATACTGTTTTAATATCATATTAAGTATATGTTAGTGCAGTAAGCCTAAAGAAAAGGAGACTGGACATCTGACTCCATAGTATGTTTGGTGTGTGCTTGTTGGTTTTGTCCATTCAAGAAGGCCCCAAAGCCCTGTTTTAAAAGATCTAATCCTGTTGTTGACTTGCTTGCCACTTGTAAGTAGACCAAATGTATTTTGGTGCAGACAATAACCCGTCTTCCTTTGCATCAGGGCTTTATAATTGACAATCTGTGAAACCTAAGCTCAGCTAAACTTACCTTCTTTATTTACTGTCTTTGATGGAACTGTTTGGAAATGCCTGATTTAGCATGGCAAAAAAAATATATTCACTGACGTGTTTTTACATGAAATCTCTGAAGTAAAAATCAGCTTGTGTTTTGGAATTGCTTTAATTCAGGACAGTCGTATCAGTCAGAGTTCTTTGCTTCTGTTTGCAAAATACACATCAATTCTGGTTTTTATTTTGAAAATTTATTTCCATTGAATAAGTTTTATTTTGTAATGTTTAAACTGGAAAATATTCAGCATGTTACTTTATACCTGTTCAAATCATAGGAGGGGAAAATGTGAAATTCTTGAGAATGTTGTGTTTTAATTGTACAGAAGCATTTTTATTGAAAGACTATGCAATTGATTAGCTCAAAATATTTCCTTTCTTTATTGCTCCAAAATGATGTTGAGACAGTGCGTGATTGCTATAAAAAAGGCCAACGCTATGCTGGGGATTATTAGGAAGGGAACTGAAAACAAATAATGACCCTGTATAAATCGATGGTGCAACCTCATTGGGAATACTGTCTGCAATTCTGGTCACCACACCTCAAAAACGATATTATAGCATTGGGGGAAGTGCAGAAAAGGGCAACTAGAATGATAAAAGGGTTGGGACACTCCCCCTGTGAAGAAAGGTTAAAGCACTTGGGGCTATTTAGCTTGGAGAAACAATGGCTGAAGGGTGACATGATAGTGTTATGTATGGGATAGAGCAGGTCGAGAAAGAAGTAGTTTTCTCCCTTTCTCACAATACAAGAAGTCATGGGCACTCAATGAAATTGCTGAGCAGTCGGGTTAGAATGGATAAAAGGAAGTACTTCTTCACCCAAAGAGTGATTCACACATGGAATTCACTGTCACAGGAGGTGGTGGTGGCTACAAGCATGGATAGCTTCAAGAGGGAATTGGATAAACATATGGAGCAGAGGTCCATCAGTGGCTATTAGCCACAAGGTGTAGATAAAAACTCTCGGCCTGGAGCAAGTGATGCTCTGTATTCGTGGTGCTTGGGGGGGGCAACAGTGGGAGGGCTCCTAGTGTCCTGGCCCTACTGGTGGACCTCCTGATGTCACGTCGTATTTTTGGCCACGATGTGACAGAGTGTTGGACTGGATGGGTCATTGGCCTGATCCAACATTGGCCTCTCTTATGTTCTTAAGATAAGAATATCAATCTTCTGAAAGAGGCAGCTCCTTTTCAAAGGTTATTAAGACCACCCCGAGTATTTAAGGTACAGCTCTATATGCCAATATTTCCTATTTCTTAGATACACAGCAGCTGCTCTTCAATC